GAGACTCTTCGTGAACACTACCTTCCCTTGCACTAGCTTCCCTTACGTTTCCACTACCATAATCCGGTGAACGCCTCTGCAACAACAAACAGTTTATCATTAGAAATCACATTATACAATTTGGAAGAATTTACATTGATATGATAAAGTTAAGAAATAAAATTATTTCAGCGTTAAAAAGAAGTATGAGAGTAATCCATATGTAGAAAGATAAAAAATGACTGAAAGCTTGTAAAATCGATAATTATTGATTATAATCAATAAAATAGACTTTTATTTTTTCTTCTTTTTAGCATTAAATATTATTTGGGATTAACGTTTGAATTACTAAACATAATTTTATTGTATTTAAATTAAAATGTAATTGCATTGCATTCTACTGTATTTGGTTTCATTTCCCCTTTTTTTTTGTATGGCGAATAATTACAAAGCGGAATGCCTTAATAAAGCTTTTGTTCTTAAAATTAAAGATACTTCGGCCAGTAAATCTATTTTATTTTCATTAGAGATAATAAAAAAGATTTACTGGCCGAAGAATCTTTAATTTGAAGAATTATGCCGGCCAGGCAGCCTCTATCTTTACCATAAAGCTTTTGTTGTCTTCTTATCTCCACTCAATCATATTAGGGTATCAAGCTTGTAGAGCTTGAGACTTTTGATGGTGTCTGGGTGAAGTAGAATGCGTCTGCCTTTGTCATTAAGACTGGGAGCACTACTCAGTGGCAGGCCGACTTAGCTCCAAAAGAAATGGCCGCCTCTGACATGAGGAACAGACGCCGTGTGCAGCGCTCCTAACATGGAGTACAAACGCTGCTCATCCTGTATCCCTGGATTAGGAGCCCTTACAGGGTACTATCAGCCGGGCCAGCTGAACCCAGGTTTTTTTTAGTGAGCTTGTTACTGCTCCCCCTCCTCCTTTTTCATTCGGGAAAGCTTTTGTTGTTTTGTTGATAGCTGGATTGACTTACCTCTCGATCCCTGTGAGTTGGATGGGGTTTTTCCTTGAAGGGTTCTTGAGAAGGAGATTCAGGGGCGGCAGCCAGGGGCCGTTCCACCGTAGCAGGGACCGGGGGATGTGTAGCTATCCAGTAGCGGTCCAAGAAGTCGGCTAGATGCTCGCAGGCATCTTCTAGCATGTTCTCATCCAGGATGACATCAAACATTTCCTGGAGACACATTACTAATGAATTCTACCCTAGCACATGCTGCAGATTTAACATTTGCATATAAGAATGGTAGTTGGGGCTTAGTGAAGGAGTGGTGTAAACCTTCAATTTTCGAAAACAACAACCCGGGATCGAATCCCGCAACGGGAACTTTTTTCTGAAAAAAAAAAAAAAAAAGCCTCAATGGTTTTTGACTCATGCCAAAGTTCAATCCTACCAGTAAGTACAAGTAACCTAAAGGGTCTCTGGAATACTTTTAAGTGCAAAAGCCGAACTGCTTTCTTCATGGATTGACAAATGGAGCACTTGCAGTACAAGAGTCGCTAAATATCAATTACGATTATCATGGCCTATACCACGTGTTTAACTGCGATTAAAAAAAAATAATAGTAACGAAAGAGTACACATATTTCTATGAAAAAAAAAGGACACAAAATTTAAATATGTCGATGCATTGCTTCCTCTCTTTCCCAGTTTATCTTTTACTAAAAAAATATTTGACCTTTGGTAAAAATGGTTTCCACGAGGCATGTAGTTTGTAACTATTTTGTATTAATTCGTAAACCGTGAAATAGGTAGCGATCCCCCGAAATATCAAAATATTATGTCTTTTTTTCACATAGATCTACAGGTATAGACTTTCTTCTTTACTCTCTTTATTACTATATCTGATGGGGATCGCCAATTAACTCAATAACTCAAAAATGCTTCTCTCTAATGTTCCATCATTGAGCTAACACACATATTTGAAGACAAAATCATGATGATTAATAATAATGCTAATAAAATAAGTATTAAGTTCTAACTTCGTTTTCGTAGTTGTTTTAGATTAGTTCGTTAAATGGGCATTCTTATGAATATAATATTTATTGGCCAAATATTAGGTTATAAGTTAAATCAACATTAAGTTGATTTTTGTTCCACTGGATAGCGCTCTGCCATCTGGAATATTCATTTGAACGGTCAGTATATGCCTTTTTTATTTTAATATCAACATCTTAATTTTTTTCTATTCTCTCTTTATTATTTTTCACATATATATTTATTAGATAATAAAAAGGCATATTTTGGATTTAATAAAAAATATTTTTATATAAAAATAAAATTATTTTTATACAATCCAATATATGCCTTTTTATCGTAAATATTGAGGCTGCCTGGCCGGCATTCATATTTCTTGAAAATGAAGATACCAAAGAGGTAATAAAAAGATTTACTGGCCGAAGTATATTCATTTTCAAGAAATATGCCTTTTTGTTATCTAAATATTTAAATATAGATTGATATTTTTTCAGAACGATATATAATTATGTAAAATTTGATCCAGACGGTTGTTTATGTGGAGGCGAAAACCCGTATCGCATATTATAATGATAACATAAACTTCAATTAACCTATTCGCATTTGAAAATTTGAAAAGAATTTCTAATTAATTTTACATTCGGGTAAAACTTACCCGCGGAAACCAGATTTTTCGTCTATTAATACACAAATGGAAATTCTGTCGGTTTACACGGAGCGTAAACCCCCAGTTCTGATATGATAATGATTGATTATAATGATAATTTATATTAGAAATCAAGATTTGCTTAACCTATTCCGATATGGTTTTGACTATAGCGTTTTGCAAATATTTTTATGTAGGAATATTTAACTATGGTGCGTATGTAGAAATTACCATTTCATTTAATGAGAAACATCTCTAGATAAAGATATAGTAACAATAGATATATGATAATAATGATGATGGAAATGCTAATAATACAAATAAATTTCCAACAAACATTATTATTATGGTAAAAATAAAGGCTGTTTAAGTTCTATTAATATATATACACGTGTATAATATGCTTCGAGCAATCGCTCTTCCGCAAATATCAAATTGAGTCTTTTATGTGAAAATTTATATTATGATGCATTAATCGTCAAGCTTATACCTTTTCAATGAAGAAACCTGTTGCTGATAGCTTTTATCTATTCTTAGAAATGACATATAGCGATTGATTCTAATGTAATGTTGGTGTCAACTTACTGGTGGACATTGTGACAGCTTCTGTGCAGCGACCATTTGTACGTTCAAGTTCCTTGCTTGAGATTTCCCCCTGGACTTCACCAACCTCTGCAGAACCTGTACACAAAATATTAAAAAAATCAATATCTCAGTCGTATACATACGTCTTCATAAACTTCATTCTTTAATACTAATGTCTCGGTGAAAGACTTTTTAAAATTTTACACTAAATTTAATATTTGCACTTTGCTCAAATGATGACATTGCAGAAACTAACGCGAGCTAAATACTTACAACAAAAATATGACTAAAATGAAAACTACGCATGCGCATTTACTAGCGTTGCTAAATTTAATTATAGTTTAGGTTTTATTCTTTATAGTAAAATTGATTATATATTTTTCAAAAGTTGTTTTATATTTTATTTTTTGAAAGTTCGGGACCTTTTGGATTCTACCGTGTAAATTAAGTTACATGAGGTAACATTAGAACATGAGATAAGGTTGTCCCAAAAGTTCATAAACACTTACAAAAAAATTGAAATACCAATATTAATCGCAGTTATGTATAATATCTTTTCATTATGTATAAAGTAATTGTATAATGTATTATTATGTGTTCGCCGTAATAATATTATTCACCAATTAATAAGAAAAACAACGTTTTAAGAAAAAAAAAACGAAATTTTGGGACAACCTTATATACAAGTATTCTAAGAGAAAAGTTGAAAATATTGATAAAAATGAAGGCAAATTGACAGGAATATATTGTAGTGAAGCATTTATTATTTTACACTAGTATTAACAGAGTATCATTTTTTATGTTTATATTTTACTACTCTGTAAATTTCCCTCATTGCTTATCTTTTATTTATCCTTCATAGTTTCTTCTTGCCTTAAATAAATTGCTGTCTCATCCTGAAGTTTCTTCAACTGGACTCCATCTTTTGCCAAGACTCCTGCTTCTCACTGCTTCAAGGCGCTGTTTCCCTGCCATCTCTAAGCTTCCTCTACCCCTGCGAAGACATATCTACTACCAGATCTTAGGATCCCTTGCCACCAGAATCGCGTTCTGCAGCCATGAAGGGGGCTAGACGACCTTGCTACTAAAAGGCCAATTAGCTCGGAAGAAAAGAAGAATCCTGAAGTTTGTCTTGCCTAATTTTCCACGTAGCAATACTCATAGTGGTTGTTATGTCTTACCATGTTTTATATCTGAATATCTATTTTGTTTTTATACTTCCACCATTTTTTCTTTTTTTTTCTTTGGATTCCGAAGGAAGAGAGTCCATGTAAGATGAGATTTTCTTAATAAAAATACTTTTTTTAAATAGTATTTTCATAAATGTTACGACTGATTATAACTCTAAATACATCTACAGTGGACCCTCGGTTTGCGAGCATAATCCGTTCCAGAGCCATGCTCGTACTCCAAAACGCTCGTAGTGCGAAACTAATTTCTTATTTTTAATAATTGAAACTCGGGCAATTCTTCTTGCTACGAACAATTGCACAGTTTCCCACATTTTACATATTTCCCGAATCTGATCTGAAGGGAGGGATCCCAGTGAATTTTCATCCATCACGATTACGGGCAACCATCACGAGTTGCTCGTAATGCGAAATTTCACTCGTAATCCGAGGTAAAATATTTCAAAAATTTTGCTCGTACTGCGAAAAGCTTGTACTCCAAGGTGCTCGTAAACCGAGGGTCCACTGTATATGCTTAAAGAGAATATTATTATTTATTTATTACAGAAAAATAATATACTATAACATGACAACAATAGTGATGAAGGTGAAACACAATATTCTGATAATATGTCCAGGGTAGCCTAGTGGACACATCTGCCCGGTAAGCGGAACACTGTGGGTTCGATTCCCATCCCTGGACACTTTTATTTTTCTGTTTATCATTACTCTTCACAATTCATCCTTTAATACCTCATCCCTAAGGGTATAAATAATCGTTATTTCTCGTTAACATAAATTTTGATTTCTCGTTGAAAAGAAACGCATGCGGGATAATTTTCAAATGTCGTTTTACAATCACAAGCCGCATTATATTGTACTATAGCATATATGCTATTTTATTTTAGCCCACATTGTAACGTTACATTTGTGCATAATGCAAGGTAAATATGTAAATTTGATAACTTCATATGTAAATTAACCTGATTCATGGATAATTATGGACTCTTTTGGAGGTCTGGTTGTTAATTGGAGGTTTAGTCAGTTCAGTTTAATATTTTTATTCTACAAAGGTTGTTAGTCATTATACGATTCGTCCACAAAGAAGGTCTAATGAATTTTTCATTTATTACAAAACACACGCAATATCCTTTGTGAATAATGAAGGTCTAATTATACTAGCAGACATAAAAAGATAAAAATGACCATTGATACTTATGTATCTCCTTTAAAATGGGCTCATCATAAGTTTGAATTAGTTAACTCTCTCAGTTCAGGTAGTTTTTATTTAAAAAATATAATCCCCAGTATATATATATATATATAAAAATGAATGTTTGTATGTTTTAACAACGAACTACTAGATGAGGAAAGAGTTTCTTTAATATTAAAGAAACTCTTTCCTCATCGAGTAGTTCGTTGTTAAAGTTTAGTGAAGGGATTATTGATTCAATGTTTGTATGTTTGTTTGTTTGTTTGTATGTCCGGTATACAAATTCGCAGTAGTTCACTAATTCAAACCAAAAATTCCATCCATAGGTAAAAAAAATACGGGGAAGACGATAGGATATTTTAAAAAATATATATAAATCAATTATTAAAACAATATATTCAAATTATTCTACTTAGCTCACGAACAGCGCCCTCAATCAAAGATTAGATTAAATTATGCTGATGCAAACAAATAGATAATGCTAATAACAAACAATTATAAAAAAAATCTTATCTAAATATATATCACTCGGGTAGATATGCACACGGGTCAATCCCGGGGCGAAGCCCGGGTCACCCGTCTAGTATGTTATAAAAATAGAGATTTTCTGCTGATTTTGGAATATATTCGAATATACCGAATTATTAGCGCTGTCATTTGATTTTGGTATACATGTGTATTTTACGATATTGTTTTGCAGTCGTGGTAATAATTCTAAAAATAGTTCAGATCATTATTGCTTTAATTTTGCTTATTAATATAAACATAATAAGAGAAAAATTCTGCCTGTCTCAAGGCGAGTAGAACAAAGAAAAAGAAACTTATTTACATAATTACAAAGGTTTGAGCCGGCCATCGGGAAACAACAACAGAGTTTATATAGTGAAAACGGCGACCTCTGGTGGTCGATTCAACACAATAGTTTAATCTATGAAATTATAATTTTGAAATAAAATTTTTCTATAACATATATGTTATATGAAAGTGTTATTTTATTTTAAGGTTATAATTTCTAGAAAAAACTACTCTGTTAAGTTGACCGCCAGATGTCTCGGCATTCCCTTTATAAACCTATTGTTGTTGTTTCCCGTTGGCCGGCTCAAATCTTTTCGTAGATATGTAAATATGTAATATTTTATTTTATTCTTTACGCCTTAAATAAGTTATTTCTTCCTTCATTATGTCTATTAGCACAATTAAAGCAAATTGTGATTCAAAGTTGACTTTCTTGTATTTTACACGACTACAAAACAATATCATAAAATACTCATGTATCCAAAACATAATCAGCATCAAAAATAATAATCCTATATATCTAATTATTAAAATGAGGAAAAATATTTTTTTGGTAATAATTATGCATATGCTATTGATTTTGTCCATCAAGTCAACTTTCGGTGACTATATGGACAAATGTAATGTAAAATATGGACCTTGTATAATTATACACAATAGGATAATAAAATAATATTTTCAAATATTTATGGAGAAAGCGTACATCTGAGATGTAAGGGTAATAAATATAGTCATGGCCTCACTATTGATCTTGTTTGAAAGCTGATTCTTAACTAGAGATTTGCTTAGTTCAAGTCTTCTTTGATCTTACAATTCTGATCTTATTGTCATCAGACGGTTCTCATTGGAGATTTAACAATACCAAAAGACTCAACAATAATGAAAATGGTATACTTGATAGAAATATTTATACATATTTAAACTGTACTTCCATAGATTGCCATAAATACCTTAACCACACAATAATTCCTCTCGAATACCGGTAATATAAGCAGAATATTTTGTGAATAGATTTATAGGAATTTTTTAAATTACTTTCTCCATCAATTAAGCCAGAATGATGAAAATTGAAAAAAAAAAAAAGGAAAAACAAACCCACCTTGAATATCAAACAAGCCAGACAAAACCTTCTCAAGAACAATATCCCCAAGGACCTGAGGACCCAACGACATCAATATAAATTCCCATTGTAAATGTACAAACCCTATACATCCCCCACAGTATATTGTAAATATGATGATCTAGGTTGCTCTTTTTGAGCGGCACCTAATAAAGTTATTTGGAACTGGATTGGAACTTAAATCACTTTAAATTAGAAATAGGTCTGAATTCAAAGAATTTAGAGACATCTAGATGACTTATTATTAAGCGCCACACATACATACAGTTAAATAAATGAAAATAGATTTATTGGAAGGCATATCAGTATTGTATAGTCTTCCATGATAAGTGGTGGCATCTAATCAAAGACTATGTCATGAGTAATCATTCAACCAAAATAGTCTCGAATAAAATACTACTTCCAGGAGTGACCGAGTTTAGCTATCCCTTTTCACACTTAGAGAGAGAATATAGAATCAGAGAATCTTCCAAAATTTTCTGCAGATGTGAAAATATAGTATAAATTTGATATTGCACTGGGATATGAGGGATATTGTACTGGGATGATAAAAAAAAAGGCATGCTAAGTCGGCCTACCCCTGAGTAGTACTCCCAGTCTTAATGACAAAGGCAAAGGCATTCTACTTCACCCAATCATGATGATTGTCAACTTTACAAGCTTGATACCGTAATATGATTGAGTGGAGATAAGAAAGAAGAAGAAAAAAAGACATATCCTTATCGGGCAACTGAAAGTTTCTGATGATTTCGCCATCTATTATTCTGATAGATAGCGCAAGCCATCAGAAACCAGTTGCCCAATAAGGAGATACCCTTTGTTACATATGTTATCGTATATATATGTGGTGTGTGAAGGAAGAGTAGATAGATGGATGACCTTGGGCGAAGATATCTTCAGATAGACGACGATGGGCGCGAGCGATGTCTTGGCCAACTGAGACGGATGATTTATGGTGTCACAGTCCAGGACTACCAGCTGTAGAGTCCGCGCCAGCTCGAAGATCCGCTCAATCTCAGCTTGGACTTCCGCTGGACCCACATCACACAACCATGTAGAATACATAGGAATTTAACAAGACTATGATTCCCTTTATGTAGTATGGATACACAAGAAGGTGTCATTTTGATGTAATAAACATAGCTGCACAAACCTTCAAACAACTATGTTCTTCAGTAGATTAAAGACGGTACTTACATCTGTTGTCATTCAGAACCTTGTTGATTGTATAAAATATGATTGTGGCATTAAATAAAAATTCACCAAAAAGTCTTATTTAACCTTCAATATATAGGAATGCTAACTCCGAATCCAATCAGATACTTGGCAACCTTTTATTTAAATAATTCGACTTCCCATATTGATCTACAAACATTTTAATTTCCAAGTCTTCTGATTCTATTAAATAGAAAGTCTTACTAGTGTTTTAATAATATGTTATACTTTTGTTGAAATTCTCAGAAGTGCCTTGAAAAATGAATAGTTTTTAGTAGAAACAAATTCAATATATATCATGGTGAGGGATGAAAATGTCATTATGAAATCAATATAAAAACGGAAATCACATAGAGCAATATATCTTATAATTTTAGCATATATAGCGCTGAACAAAGGTAAGATTTCGGGGTTTCAGAGACTTGACACAGACAATATGTGTCTTAAGAAAATCTATTTAGCTGAAAGTTTACGTTGATTAGAGACTCATTAGAGACTGACATATCGGGCCAAGACTTAAGGAGTCTTTCAACCAAAACAGAGTCTGTGATGAAAGATCACCTCCAGGGGAAACTGTTTTTGCCATGCTTTTAAGCCATGGTCTCTCAAAAAACTACTTTGCTTTACGTGATATCCATTTTAACAATAGGTTGTTGATGCATAAATTAATTGATAAGAATAATTATGAGGTTTATTAGAAGAGAGTTGCATGAATTGGATTTCAGAAGAACAACGTCAATCTTTATTCCTATATATGTAAGGAAGTCGCCATCTCAGATTAGGGAACAGATAGAAGGTAGGCTGTCATATAAGTGAGAATGTACTGGCGTAGATTTGCCGAGTAAATAGGCATGAACCAACAAAGGTAGAATTAACAGGATGTAGTGGAACAATATTGAAGTACCATTTATCAAATGTGAATTTCACATATATACAAAAATACTACTTTGTAAAAGGAGCATACGGTTTCTGGATTGGGCAATGAAATGTCTGGCTTTGACTTTTTGAAGCGAACATCAGATAGAGATCTTTAATCAGAATTCAGAAAACTAGCTTATTCAGGATAATAAAAACTGTATTTTCTCTCAAACCAAAGGAAGAAGGGTCACTTTATTGATCAATTCAACAAATAATCTAAAAGTGAGAGTGTGTATTAGGTTCTAGGGACACTTATACAGTATCAGTCCCTAAGTCCCATCATGGAAAGTTGTCTTACTTGAGGGTGATGTTCCATGACCTCTGTATCAGAGATGGTACTATATGATGATATTAGGTTCTAGAGACACTTATACAGTATCAGTCCCTAAGTCCCATCATGGAAAGTTGTCTTACTTGAGGGTGATGTTCCATGACCTCTGTA